TGTAAAGGATTTTCTTAACCTGACAATCATTTATCACATTCGTGAGCTATGCTACTTTGTGTACTTTGCTTTGGCACATTTAAGGCAATGCTCTGAACTATTGTCGTTGTTGCTGGAAAGAAAGGTTTGAAGGGCCAAGCTCTAGAGGAAGCGATTCTTTTCATATATACTAAAGCGGGCCAGCACTGCTTTGTTCTCTGTCTTGCACAGGGTTTTTAGAGTTATGAGCAGAGGCTAAAGGCTGAATGAAAGGCAGCAAGGAGCACTACTTAATACCAAATCCTTTATGGTGCCATCTTTTGTGTGCTGACATACACTGAATGAATAGGACTAAGTCTTCCTGCAGGCTAAGCTCAACCTAGCTCTCCCCACTGCCAATCATGACCTGCAGTAAGAAAGGGGTTAACAACGACAAAAGCATTAGAAACGTTTGAGACTGAATTGCCCACGGTGTACAGCACAACACAAGAAAAATGTTTTATATATACTTTATACTGTCTGTCTTTAAATTAACCAATCCTGACTCAAACTCACTGATGGCTCCTTTCCCTTGGTCTTCATAGTTCTGGTCTATATCACTCTCAGATCCCAAAACACTCTCTACCTCTCCTTATCTCTCTTCCAGACCACACTTTCTATCCTCCCGCCTGTGCTACTCCAGGTTGGGCATGGGGCCCAAACTCTACTCGCAGCTTCACTCGCCTCCCCACCTTGTTGCCCTTTGCCACTACTATCGCACAGTATAAGAACCAGACCTTCCCGGACTGCACTTAGCTCAGAGGCTAACACTAACCAGCCACAGATGTTTACATTTTGAGAGAAGGAGCAGCAGATGCAGTTTCACTCAATAAAACCTCTCCTATTTTCCCTTTGTCTCTCTCTCTCTTCTGACTTACTCTCTCTTTTTGCAAGCCTGCAAAGAGCCCAGGGGAGCTCTTTAGATCTATGGGTGTGACAACCTTGCTCTCAGGCTGTATTTGCCTCATTCCCAGCTCTCTCTCTGTGCTGAGTCACCTGGGTTTCCCCTTAAAAAATGAGAGAAAACTCCCTTTTCCAATTTTCCAAACTGCCAGACATTCAGCAGTGAAGACTGAGACTTCATTATTACTGAAGCAAATGCTATTAACAGACAGTTTGTGGAGCTGTTTTATGTGCAAAACTCCCTTCATTCCGGTGAATGTTAGCACACCTGAGTCCTCTTTATTTCAGGATAAAATGAGACACAACCCAGGAGTGGAATTCCAGCAGCAAGAACAGACAGGAATATCTCCAGGTAACACTCAGCAAACAAAACTCAAGCAGTCACATCCTTAAGAAACTGGTGGATAGAAAGAGCAAGCTGATTTTTTTTTTTTTTTAATCCTTTTCATTTTCTCTTATGAAAGATTTTACAAGCTGCAAAGTGTCAAAATGTTTCTAATGAGACTACCGTGACTGTGAACAGAGGCATGATGTGTGGTCTGATATGAGCTCATCTGCAGAGTGACACCAACACCAAACAGCACACAAACCTCTGACAATAAACTGCCCTGTGATACCTCAAGCTTTTTGTTCTTAAGCAAATGATTTTGGTCTCTGTCTCAACAACCTACATTAGATTGTGAGAAGTCAGCAGTGCATGTTGCTAATAGAAGGCAGACTGCAGAATTCTGCAGCTCTAATGTCATCGCATTCAGTGGATTAGTGTTTGCCTGTAAGCCCTTTTCAGGGCATCTGAGAAGTGGTAGGTCACTATATAGTTTAAGAAGTAGCATACCAGCACCTCCTGCAGTTCCACAAACCAGAGAGGGAGCTGCTTTGAAAATATTTTAGGAGAAAGGGTCATAAAACACACTGCTCAATAGTCTATTAAACATGGCATGGTGAATCCAAGAACATAACTCATAAATGCTTCAATAATCCTTCCTCTATGTGCAAGCCAGCAAACAGTGTTTGCAATATGCCTTAATGAAAACAATGTCTCTGTGCAGATTTTTGTTTTTAATATTCTCAGAAGTTAATTAATTTAAAATGTGGCGGCAGTGGTGTTTGTTTTGCAAAAGAGGGGCCTAGGGTAGTGTCTTAAATGCCATTGTTTGAACTAATCTCTTCTAACATACTTGTTTGTGGTTAGTTGGTTAAGCATAGTAGAGGCTGTGCTCATTTTCTCAGGCAGAGCAACACAACAGTATCATTATGTGCCCAGTGGGAAGGAACCTTTCATGAACCTCCAGGGTTTTACTCTCCCACAACCAACTGAGGGGGATAGTGGAGAAGCATGTATGCAGGCATGCATATGAAACAAATAAAGGGGGGAAAACAATATCTGGTCAACTAGACACACATGGCATTATAGAGGATGTGAGATCAGTGCAAATTTCTACTGCCTTCTCAGTAAATGAAACATCAACAAGAGAGACAATCAACTTTCCCTGCACTTAACAAAACCATCTGATGTGCATTATTCCTGACAGAGCATCAAACTCTGGCTTTTTAATGGAATAAGTTCCCTCTGCTCTGTCCATTAACAAGGCTCTGTGGGAAGTGATGAGTTGAGATTTGCAGAAGGTGCCCAGCTGAAAACTCTGAATTACATGTGCTAAAAGGATGAATAATAACATCACAATGTGGAGGGAAGACTGTTGAAAAATGTATCTGTACTTCCCTCTAGTGGCCGGAGAATTTGGTAGTAAGAAGGGAAAAATTAATGTGGGCAACATAGAAGACATTGCAAAAGAATATTAATAACATAAATGTTAGAGAAGCAAGTATAAAGTATATTCATGTGTTGCACAGCTTACCCAAATGCACAACTGATTTTCACTGGTTTAACACAGACCATAATAACTCAAGTCACTTGTTGGAAGTAGCGTCTGAAACAGTTCTTCTGTTTGGCAGTAAGACAGACAGTTGTTTATTATGAACACTGGCAATAAAGGTTGAAAAACTTTAATCAAATACAGAGTCCTCATATTCTTTATTATCTTGTGTGCATTTTATGTGGGAAAGCATTTTGTTTAAAGTAAATATGAGGCTTTGTGGTCACTGAAAAGAACATGCTCAACAGGTTCTCAAGATACTGAAGAATAATATTACCATGTGTTTAGATACTTACCTTTTACTTTTGAACCCAAACTGGACAGGAAAATGTTTTTGCTTACCTTAATGGAAAATTTAAGAGGAGCCATTGCAGTGAACACGGCAGTCAGTGTCTAATGCCTCTCAACAGTAACGGAAGTTATCGTTTCAAATAATCTTAAAAGCTGGGCCCACAAAACAAATTACTACCTCTATGAAACAAAGAGATGCACTAACATTAAGCCCTCAATAGCAAATAACACAGCAACAATGCCACAAAAACATTAAATGTTTGAGTTACATTTAACCAACCGCAGATTTCCCACCACCAAAAATTTTGAAAGTTTGTCAAACGACGGGGCCACCAGAAATGACGTCACACAAATGCATCCTACAGTTTGTAATCCCACAACTGCAAAGCTTTGGTTTATGACAAGCATACGTCGGAAAATTGAGTAAAACGCGTGTCCATCTCTATCATCACGCTTTTATGGACCTATCGGTAAATTTTCTGTCTTGACAGAAAAAAAAGACAACAAAATAATACGACGCCTGATTGAATAGGACCCCACTAGGACCCAATGCTGTAACCTCTACCATAGAAACGAGTTGCATATTGAAAATGTCCTGTATAAATCTCGATATTACACGTTGTCAATTTTTATCTGTATACTCATATTAATATAAAAGGGACAACATATTATGAACTCGATATGCTTTCATTTGTTTTAACTTACTATCATCGAGGGTATACCCAAAATTTGTTTAATATTGGTCAGGCAATGCTAGAAGTCCCACGGCATCAAAGGTGCTTAATATAGAAGCAGCAAAAGAAGCATTATTACTCAGATTTCGGTGAATAGGCTAAAAGGACACTACCTTCGCTTATATGTTGCGATAGTGATCCTACCGGTGAACTTGCTTTGCCAGTGCTTCGAGAAATTGCTGCTTACGTGATGGCTCGAGTCGTCAAGAAAGCTCCTTCTGTTTGTACGGATTTACCACTGGGCAACACTGATATTTGTACCAAGCTTCATTTGCTGAGGCAGCTTCTGAGATCTTGTTTTGGTCCAACAGGTAGATTAAAACAAATTCATAACAATATTGGAGGGTACGTTGTAACTACCTCCACCTCCTCAGTTCTCCTTCCAGCTATTTCCTCCTCACAGCCTTTTGTCAATATGTTGAAAACCTCCATCCTCAACCACGTTTCTCGTTTCAGTGATTGTGGTTTGTTTGCTGCCATTCTGTGTTTAACTCTAATTGACCAAGCAAATCGCGCTGCTCTCAAAAGAAACGTGGCCATTAAAGTGAACAAGCACTTGCTGGGTCTGTGCACCAGTTACCTACAACGTGAAGACTGTGGTTGCAAAGTGAAGCTCGACTTTAGCAGCAGCCAGAACATGATCACATTAGCTCGTAGCATTATCTCCAGCAAACCAGCGTGTGTGCTGACAGAGCCAGAGACACTTCACATCAGTAAGTTAACTGTACAAGCTTTTTTGCTGACCATTCCCTGTGACATGCCAGGTATAGTCAGTCTTGGCAAGACAGTGACGGTCTCTGTGGAGGGCTATTCTGTGCTAGACTCTGCAGTCTTTCCAGGTTTGCTGCTGAATATTACTGATACATTTTGCATCAGCAAGGCAGATCACCTGCATTCAACTCCACTAATTGTGGTGGTGTTTAGTGTATCTCTTGCTGGAGACCTTTCTGAACTAGGAGATGGGATAATTCAAGTGCACCAAGGTGCAGATACAGATTCACAGATCCTGAATCAACTCCTGGAGGTCGGCAAGCAGGTGGTTAAAGATGAAGTGAAGCTCTTTGTGTGCCAGAAGGTCATACACCCAGTACTACAACAATACCTGAAGAGTAATGGTATCATTGTGGTAGAGAGACTAGGAGTCACCCTCATGGAGCCACTTATTCAGCTGACAGGTAGGTCCTTAGGAGTGGGTCCACTGGCAGATTTATCTTTGCAATTCCATGTTGTGCAGACATGTTAAACCCACCTAACCTTCTGGCACAGTTTATTAAACTCATATAATAGCTACAAATTGAATGATCTTGTTAAAGTAGTCTGTAATCTATGTGATATTTTACTGCTGTAATATTACACCAACATCTGAAATCCTGTTTTATATTTGTCAACTTGATCAAATAGGTGCTCAACCTGTGGCCTCATTACATACCACAATCCCAGCCAAGGCCTATGGGAAGGTGAGGGATCTCAGTATTAGGCAGTTTGGATCCCAGACAATGCTGCATTTACATTCTCCTGGGGAGTCAGTGGTCTGCACAATGGTCCTCTGCCACAGAAATGAGACAATGTTAAGTGAGCTGAAGGTAAGATAAAGTGTTGAGTGTTGGGACTGTGCTGTAGGCTTCTGGGGTTTAAGATAGACAGAGATGTGAAACTGGTCACCCAGATGCAAGAAGGTCAAATTGTATACCATTCACATTGTAGACTGAACTTATTAGATGGATCTCCCTTGCACGTATTTACAATCTTCACTGTATATTATTCAATAAAGCAGAAATGATTAATAATAAATGGCCCTATCATGCTCAGTTGGGTGTTTAACTAAGAATGTTCTTCTGCAGCAATTTCGAAAAAAGCATCCATCAGCTGGCATCAGATATTTTTAAAACAAAAATAATTTTACACATAGACATGAGCTTGGAATGTCCAGTCATAGTAGGCAAATGACAACTGAATGGATGTTTTAATTTTCATCTCTTTGACTGTTTAAGGTGGTGTGCCAGAAGACAGAACATGTGTTGAGGCTCACCCTGAGGGAACCATCTGCCTTACTTGGAGGTGGATGCACCGAGACTCACTTAGCGGCTTATGTCAGACACGAGGTGAGATCCAATATTTAGACTTCACTTTTTTTTTTTTATAGCAAACACATTAAAGCATGTCTTGATTATGTCATATTTTTCTCTTAGAGCAAGAATGAAGTAGCACAAACAGCATCAGTGTTAGGGTGCTCACAGATGGAGTATCTTCTTGGCATGGAGGGATTCTGCCGTTCTCTGGAGTCTGTAGCCACAGCACTGGAGCACAACGGTGGGAATTCTTTAATCGATCTGACTCATGCTCACCACTGGACTCTTCCTGCAGATGTTGTGAAAGATCAGATGGCGGATAACTTTGGTTTATGTGGCTGTGGACTGGTGGGAAGTAGCCCAAGCAAGAAGTGGACATACTTAAACACTCAATACACAGAGTTATCACCTGCACTCTTGCCTAGAGACAATGTTATGCAGCCTTGTGTGCTGGACTCCTTCGCAGCTAAACTCAATGCATTGCAGGTGGCTGTAGAAACAGCTAATCTTGCACTAGATGTGACATATATAATTCAAGATGTGAACTAGCTGAATGCTGTATTTGCTATACTCTGGCCTTATTTGATTACCTGAAATTCTAATGTGAAATACAGAATAGTATGCCAAAATATAAAATACCAAACAAGAAGAGGGGAAAAAATCACTCATGCATAAATCTATGAAATATCCAAACTAGAAAGTTTAAATTATGAACTCTCCCAATCTGTTACCTGGGTTAGGTTGTCATAATAATCTAGAAACGGCCTTTAAACTCTTTCAAATGTATTCATGTTTCCATTCATTTTGAACTTGATTTTTTCCACTTTAACATCAAACATAACCTCTCTAAGCCATCTTGTATGAGATGACAGTACAAATCTCTTCCAGGTAAGGAGAGACGCTGAGCTGAGAGTAGTAAAAGCTTCCACATTAGACATTCCAGCCAGAACATTCTCAAATTCTGTGACTCTGATTATAAAATTTTCCTAAAGCTGTGAAGACTAAGTTACTAAGGAGTGAGCAGACAGCACTTAAACAGAACTGACCAAACTCACCATAACTTCACACTCATTAAAGTTATTACCTGCCTTTCCTTAATGAAACATTACACAGCAACTGAATGCTAAAGGTTTGATATGATGGCATTTCTGTAATAATCTAATCAGAGGGAAAGTCTGCATTTTGTGGGCTGTGATTGCGCTTAATATGACAGTTGAACTAGTACTTTCACATACATTTACTTAACAACTCACTAACATTCTGTCATTTGAAATATTCCTTGTGAACATGATGCTGCTAGTCTGGAAACTGATCTCTCATTTGGAAGGCAGCAGCTTTTTGGTGGCTATATTTGGTGGCATGTTTTTCTGGCATGATAAATCCAGTGCCTATTGCAGTTCATCTTTTCACAAGAAAGTCAGAAAATTAACCTGTTTGTAATAGAAGAATACAGTTTTATGCAAACTGCTTCATTGAGGTGCTGATTCAGCTTGTTTCTGATATTGAGTCTATACTCATTGGTATAAATGTAGATGGACAAAATAACACAAAGACCTCTTAGGATAACACAATACAGCAGCAGCATGAAAGACATCTTTTAAAATGACATAGTTGGATTAGCAGATTCCTAAAACTTTCAGCAAACTTCTTATAATCTTCAAGAAAGGATTGTCATCTAAGACTGGGTTAATTTTAGCTAGCTGTACCTAATAAATGGCAACTAAGAATTTTAAAAAATGTATATACAATACTTTTTAGTTGCAGAAATGAAGGCATAGTGTTCAGTTTACTATATTCCTCCACTCACTTGGCTCCCTCTGCTGGTGTCATGTCTAAGTGTCTCCACTGTAATTCACTGGCAAAGTGTTAGATATCAATTCTAACCAGGGTGTCTACATTATATGCTCTGTAAATGGGTTAAAAATTCCAGTTTACAACCAAACTAACAGCCCACATTACAACCATTGCAGTGTTGAAAATATAAGTGGTTATTCAATGTGTGATTGTAAATACTTGGAAGAACAAGACACCAGAGCAGACATGCTTTTCAGTACATTTTACTTGTTTTGTAACATGAATCCTCAGCCCTATCTGAAGAGCCTGTTGGGATGCTTTGTCAGTGGAACCTGAGATCAAAAAAACTCCATTTAGGGAGTAGTTAAGTAGTATATTTTAGTTTTGTGTCATGTAAGATCCCATTTTCTAAGCAAGAAATTAAAAAAATACAAAAACCATTTTCTAAAAGGTAAACAAAGTTCAATAAACAGAAAATGAACAGTGTTGAGGTTCAGCCTTTGTCTCTATAGGACTGAGGTGAGGTGAGGTGAGGTGAAGAAAACAGAACACCACTCCCTGCTGGAGAGAGGAGATAACAGTTGGTGCCATTGAGACCAACACATGGGGAACAGGTCACAACACTCGTGGAGTACTGGGGGAGCTGGAGACATTGTTGAGCACTAGGCGAGGGGGAGGGTCCATGTGGAAAAACCAAAGACTGAAAACACACATTCTAAAATAAGACTAAAAGTAAGGATATGCTTTATGTGCAACAGTGATAAAAGGCACAATAGCACAGTGTGTCATGCTTTACTAGTTTCCCTTAAATCAAATTAACATCGGAGGTCAAGTGAGCCTGGGGATTCTTCTTTTAGTCTGTGTCCACTTGGTTCACCAGATATTGTAGCTGAACGTGCAATGCCTCTTATGGTGGTGAGAGAGGGACCTATGTTAGAGGACTGCATCGTTTCAATGGGAATAAATGCCTTCAGCAGCAAAAGTCAGTCAGTAATGAGTGATGTTCAGATCTCTAACAACAGAAAAGAAGGTGAGTGCGGCCTATATCATATTGTCGATGAAAGCCTATACCGCCCTGTGACTCATCAATATGCATTCAGGTTTAGTATGCAGGGAGCAGCAGTGACGTTTCTGGGTAGATTCCTAAACCATATAGCAAAGCATTGAGACTGATCTTAAAGCTCAAGCCATCTATTACTTGTTATAGCTAACTGCCTAAGTGATACTCCTACTGCTTTAGGAGTAAATTCTCCTATACTGAGAGAACTAGTGAAACTGGGAAACAAACCTTGAAATAAGGATAAAGACTTCCCAGTCACTTTTGGCATTCTTAAATCAAAACAGTATTTAAAAGAGAGGTAAACTACTACCTAGTGAACAGATACAGTAACAGTTCCTACAAGTTTAAGCAGATCATCTAGGGCTTTACCGCTGCACTACTTGGTTGAGCCCATAACAAAACTTTTGCTGATCTAATAAAACTGAATGTGTAACAAAATACATTTTCTAAGTCCAGCAAAACAACAACAAAAACAAAAAACTTTGTTCGAGTCTTCTATACTGACAATTCATCGACTACAAAGATTCAAGGTGGCAGTGTAAACAAACACTAGAGATGTCAGTATTTGAAATCAATACACAATATCCAGCTTTGAGTATGTTTCTGTAGCACCCACATCTGCAGTGTGGCTCTGGTAAAACAAATCTATAATGCAACATGCATATAGCTGGATCCTGGGAGGAGTGTCACACACACTAATTTAACAGGCAAACCATGTTGTGGGCTTTAGAGCTAAACTGACAACACTGCTTTTGTTCAAATCTAACACACTATGTGAGTAAATACAAACACGTCTAATAAAACTAGGGGAAAAATAAAAGGAATAACATGAGTAAAGGATAATATTTAATAAACTAATAAGGTAATCAGGTTTTTGGCTTTGTACAGAGTTAATGAACTTTGTTGGGGGCAGCCCTTTGTTAACAATGACAACATACTGTACTTTATGTTGAGCAATTGTAGTAATTACCTGGGACACGGTTTTCAAAATTTAAGTTGCATGTAGCTTACAGCAGTCAGCAAACGCACTCATTGCATTTTCATCTGGCAACATTTCAGTAATATCCATTAAGATCTGAAGTTTTATTTTCATTCCTTTTCTGAGGCAAATTACATAAGTCCAAATGTAAAGACTGCATTATTACAACTCAAATCCATCATTTATCAGGAAAACAATAAGGGAATAAGAGGACAACTGCAGTCCTTGCAAAAAAAATCGAATAAGATTTCCCCCTCCCAACGCTTACTCCGAGTCAAATTAAACCTCCTCGAACCGATTGCTCCTACATCATTTCAAAACCGCATTTCAAGCAAAGCACACGCTTCAAACTGAGAGGAGGGTGGAGACACGTGGAGGAAAGCTGAGGGGGAGAGAGAGGAAAAAAAAAAAAGACTATTGGCTTCAACTGTCTTCCTGCAAATAGTGGGCATAACTTGGGGCGGGGTGGGAGGGGCGGGAGTGTCTGGGTCAGGTTATGGCGATAGATAGTAAGGGGAGGGCAGCGGTGCTGCAGTGGCCCCTGCAAAAGTCAACCTCAATGAATGACGAGTGCCCCAGCAGCGTAACTCACAGAGCTGTCCTGCCAGTTCCTGCACTCACTTGACTGGGCGTAGTTTAGGAAAGTGAAGTTCATTTCTAAACCAGACTTCCTCAGCTCAGCCACAGCCTGCAAGACAGTAACATCCACTTTATTCACACTATGCAGCATGCCAGCAGTATTACACACACAACCACACGCACACAGGCTATAAGGACAATACTTGTCCTATCATAGCTTAGACATGGCATCAAGCTTACTACTAGCAGTAGTAACCAGATGTTACAACACCAAAGATGTCTTCAACTGCATTTGTTTGTGGAGTAACAAGTTAAAGTAAAACATCTTTTTCTTATCATTCTTAAAATACCAGGACTATCCAGCAGTCAACAATACAGTTTTCTTTCTTTATTTCCATGCATCACACATACAGCATATGGATCATCAGCTGGTGAGGATGCGGATTTATTGCTTGGGACACGCAGACCCATCATCAACATGTCTACACGATGTTAAATACTGCGTCTTTTCCTCTGTACTTACATTTAGCAGCACTCCAATCGGGTGACGCCCACAAATGGTGTTGCGATACTTCTTCAAGTAGTTGGTGAAAGACATGGGATCCAGCTGCTCTATAATTCCCATCCCCTTCACAAGCAGAGAAAAATAAGTGGAACAGCAGTTATAAAGCTTTAATGTGGCCTTAAAAAGCACAAGGCTATTGAGTTTTAGAGGCTGTTTATTTTTTAAAAAGCAATGACATCAAAACTTCTTTTTTTTACCTTTTAACATTTTCAAACTACTTTACCCTGCCAAAACACATAGATAACAAAAAAATTCATGATCAAAAGAAAAATAAAATATCTAAATCCTCTCTATCCTTTTCTATTTTCATTTCTTCAAAATGTATTTTAGCAGGCACAACAAATTAGTCACATTAACTGCACACAAGGTATTCAAAATGCCATGTCATTGTGATTTCAGGGTCTATATAATATTACTTAATTTCCATAACACCTGTGCATGTGGCTGATTTTAATCCAGATCTTTCCTTTATATATTTTATCCAACACATGATTCCAGCGTTTGACTTTCAGTTGAATACATCTCAGAGGTTACCATTTTATCAAGATGCTCAATAGACCTGTAGATCTCCCCTTGAGATTCATCGTAGTACGTGTAGCGGAACCGTTGACCTCCAAAGGAGAGAGGGTATTGGTACAAAGCATGGATACAGTCACGTCACATTTATGACATTTAGGGTCAATCTATCCTGAGATCACAAACTTTTAACAACATGATAATCTCAGAGAAAGCCTTACTCTCGTTACTTTTATTTGGCAGTACTTACCCCAGTGGCAGAAGTCAGATGAGATGATGAAAAGGTTGGAAGGGTCTGCCAGATACTTGCTAAGCAGCTTCCCATATTCTTGTTCTTTAGATTCACTCAGGGCGCCCACAAGCACAGGGACAATGCTAAACTCGTCTTTGTGGCTGCAACAGAAGATGACTGAATCAACAATTCGAGTACAATAACTGCACTTATCACTGTCAAAACTGTGTCAAATGGGCATGAGTGGAAATAAAATCTGTGTCCAACAAGTAAATGGAAAACCTGCAGCCTATTACACAATTAACTGACACCAGTGAGTTGCACCTTTACAGCATACATGCAACACTTACAGTACATTAATGTTTCTTGTCAGTCAACACTACAGGTTTTACATAAACCCATATGAATGATGTGTGTAAATGTGCTCAGTTCACCTCATACTACATAATCTCTGCTTTTCTGAAGAGAATGCTTTTGATTCCTATCAACAGAAGGCTGTATCAGTTATGCATACCATACATTCCATGTGTCCCTGCATCAGTGTGGCTCTGACCTATGTTTAGAAAGGCAGTGAAATGAAAGAACAGAACTAGACGAGCCATTGTTGTTTTGTCAATAATAGCTGAGGAAAAAAAAGCTTCATTCTGCGAGATTGTTCCTTATGAAACATATATAGTGTTGATTCTTTAGCCGATGCTACTACGTATGTGCATTACCTCTCCATGGCTTTAGCAGTGTAAGGCAAGTGCATTTCAATACTGTGTTCGTCCTCATCTGTCTGTAGACTCATCCGCTCAAACAACCCAGTTTTCCAGAGGTCAGCATAAACTGTAAATGAGAAGCGAGTTTCAATTTAATTTGTGTGTGTGTGACCATGACCATGTCTAATGATTAAGTAATTTTTGGAGATCCTGATAATCACCTAGCTGAGCAAAACCTCATCATTAAGAAAGCATTTATCCTTCGAGTCAGGGAACTCTCTGGTCACCAGAGGATGATTTAAAGTGTATCAACCTCCCCAGACTGCTTGAGGTCTGCATGTTAGAACTGTTCAGGCTAGAGTAAGATAACCACAATGAAGAAAGGGTCTTAAGATAGCTCTGTGCTGTTTTTTTTTTAATTATCCAGAATGTGTTTTTTGGCATTAAAAAAGGCATTTATTTTTACACTTATGAAACCTACAGCAGTTATGTTACTCCCACACATCACCCTGAAAATACTCAGCTAAATAATTAACCAGTTACCATGTGTTAACATATGAGCAGACACACAACTGTAGAAATCACAATGTCATGAGTAAAAACAGTGAATACCCTTCTGGTCGATTCTCAGGTCATAGAGAGGTGTTCTATAGATGCCTGCGGGTGACAGGGCACAGCGGGAGAGGGGCACGTGGTGTGAAGGTCCCAAGATGAACACCCTACGACTGATGGACAACAGGACTTTATCTCACTCACTCTGTTCACAACACGCACAATACCACCAGTACTCTATTTTACTATCTAAACTAACATGAGTTCAAATCTGTAGGGAGTAATGTCAAATAAGAAAGTCATACATAGCAAATTCTTTAATAAAGAAATTAAGAGAAAACTGAATGACTTACGTAACAGAGGGATCAACCTGCTTGTAGGCATGTGCAGCACATGCACCACAGTAGGTATAACCAGCATGCCTGCAAGTAAAACATGTCAAATTAGAAAGAGATGGCATCACAGAAACCATCTGACATTTTTAGTTGTTTTTCTTCCAATTGTAAATGTGTGCTTACGGCGCTATGATGGCTCTAGCGGGTCTAATCGTGGACTGTGCTTGGGATAGCCAGCCCTCTAGTTGTGCATTCAGCTGGGATCCTGAAAAGGTAGAGATGAAAAGACAATTTTGGATCACTGGATTAAAGGGTAGCCATCCACTCTTTATGCTTCCCTACAAGACTATGAATGACATAGTGGGCCAGCATTTTTTAAAATTTGTTTTTAAATCCCTTCATGGCTTATTTATCTGACTTGCTCTACTGGTATATGCCTACGCATTCTTTGAGGTCAGCTAATCATTCATTCATTTTCTACCGCTTAGTCCCAGAACGGGGGATATTTTACATTGGTGTTGATTTGGTCTGTACTTGTAAGTTATGTTAATTTTTAATGTATATTGTTATTTACACTGTACAGCACTTTGGTTGTTTTTAGTGCTTTATAAATAAAGTTGGAATGGAATGAATAATAAACACAGATAAAAATACAAATTATCTGATCAAGATAAATAGGATTTGATAGATACAGAAGAGCTACAAGCCTGTAATATGTCAATGAATGTGTGGGGTGTGGCAACAGTGGTTAATTTAGCCTCATTAGCTGTTTGCTATGTTATTGTGGGAGAGAAATTGAGACAAACTGGAATGACCTTTATTATGTCCACTGCATATTCTAAACTTATAACCCATCTCTGCTGACACCTAATACAGTCCTTGACAATATCTTATAAGCTGCTGGAAAGACTTCGGCTGTGAATCTATACACAAATGTGTGCTCAAATCCAGGTTAAACAATAAAAAAAAAAAACTAAAATTTTAAACTTTAATGTGATTCTTTACCAGTGTCTAAAGCTGATAACCTTATGTCAACATCAATCAAACCTAGATAACTGATGTACATAATTACATCTGCATGGAAAAGCAAAGAACTGGTATAATTAGTTTTGTAAAAACAAATAAGGACATGGAGATCAGGGTCGACAGATGCAGCCTAGGGACATATTACTTAACGAACATAAAATACAACAATTCTGTTATGTTTACCTACTGTATATGTTTGGTCGAAAACTGTTATTACTTACAAGGCAGCAAAGCAAAGGATAAACAGGCAGGTTTGCAGGGTTTAACAAAAAGAAACTAGTGACTAGCTAGTGAAATGGGAGAAGGGATACAACAGGATTTAGTGTTCTGCCCTGCCCTTCCAAGCCTTTTACCTCGAGGCAGGGAATATTTATGCACTTAATTTGTGCGAGTCGGGGTCAGCATGACCAAAAAAACCACAACAGTACAGGCAAATTAAATTAAAATAGCTGCTGGCAGCCTGTGTCGGGAAGCCTAGTTTAGCCAGATAGCAGGCCGAGAAGTTCTGCAATATTAGCCAAGTTAGCTATTGCTGAGTTAATAACTGATTGCTTGCCAAAAAAGAAACATGCTGAGCAGCAGAAGTCTGTTTGTTTTGAAACCTTTCATTCGACCATCCGAGAAGGAAGAGCTGAATCAGCTCAAACCAACCATGCACCAAAGGGGATAAAGCATAACGGAGTCAATACCAGCTAAATGTTAGCTTGCCGACTTTGCATCAGATGGATTAACGTTAGCGTTACAACCCTGACGTTAACCATCACCGTCTGCTGTGGCAAGCCATGTATTCGACGGGTTTTGATGCTACTTTAATGAGGTGATAAAAAACAAAAAGCCAGTGAAACTAATTAAGCACGCTGCCATGAGAGAAAAACAGTCAGCTAGCACACAGTGTGCTAAAACGGACGGTGCTCTGTTGAGTTACCCGAAGCAGAGTACCAGCTCCCGGCGTGACTTGCTTCTCTGCACACCACTCGGTTCGACATCTTGGTTCCCAAGCCGCCTATCTTGGTTTCCTTAACTCTTCTCAGACGAAAAAAATAGAACTGCAAAAGCCTATGTTTGGAGAAGAAACAACGCCCGCTAGCTAACTTGCTTGTGAACACAAAGGGTTGTTCGACTAGAGAGACAGCTGGGCTAGCAGGCTAACAAGCTCAGTGTTCCGTGAGCTGGCAGTTGTGATGTTACCGGTTGATAAGTTAACCGGAGACAGCAGCTAACGACAGTTTGTCAAGACAGTCCGGTTAAGTTATCATGCAAATTTTCAAAGACACCAAATACAAAATGTCTATAATGTGCCAACACAGAACAGCCTGAAGTACAATAATAAAACCAACAGCTGTCACAGTGAGGATCAGTCCTTTACTGATTTGTCTGTCAAGCCAGGTAAGGGGCGTCACTGAAATGCTATCACAGTGACGTTCGGGCATTTTGATTGGTTGTTTGAATAGCCGGCATAAAGTGATTCGTAGAAAGATTCTGGAGGCGTAGCCGTTACTGAAATGATTGTTCGATAATGAAATTGGTCTTTCCCGTCAGGTGAGCGGGTACAGTGTGACAATAGAAGCAGGAAGTCAATCGGCATTTATCTATATGTATTTATTTATATGTGTTTGCTATTATCTTAAAAGAAATGAACACTTAAATTTGTATTGAATCAGGAGGCATCGCCTAACTAATAATATATATACAAATTATTTTTATAAAAAGACCTGAGCAATCATGTCAGGGCTAGTGATGGCCGATGAGGCTTTATTGAAGCTTCGACACAGTGTTCACACAAATGGTTCATTACTAGAGGCCTCAATGACACAGTGCTCCAATAGGACATCTAGTGGTCAAGAAATTGAAGTGCAGTCAAGACGTGTCGCTTATTGGTTCATGGATTGGGATTTGATTCGCCATGCACATTCCTGTTCCACTACACTACATGGTTGTATGGTTTCAAGCTGACACAATAAAATATAAAATAAACATGGACACATGTTGAAGACCATGTTTCTTATTTGGCACCTCTGAGTGTAACCCTATATGCTCCTCACTTATATTTTGTGTTATGTAAACATTTAAATGATGCTGCTACGTTCATGAGATGTGCTCTACAGATTCAGACAGATGTCATTCTCACATGGGACTGGTGCAAATACAGATTATAGTATGGACTTCTGCAAAGTTTGTTTTGGAGTTCATTGGTAAAGTGGTTCATGGGTATGTGGGTAAAGAGGGTGTGCTTGTGTAACTGTTTATGAGTTTTTATTGAGAACTAACAGTATATCCACAGTTTTCAGACACAAGCGGTTTCTCCTTTTACAGACTATTTCCCCAGCCTTGGAAAAAACCCGTTCACATGGCACAGATGTGGCCGGGGTACACAGGAAATGCTTGGATAATTCATAGAGATTTAGGTAACTATATATGCAATATATATCTATATCTCTCTCTATATATATATATCTTATCTATATATGTAATATATCTATATCTAATGTTATTTAGGACTATGTGTAACTATATATATCTAGTGTTATTTAACTGTGTAACTATTTTATCTATTTCTCTATGTAACTTACTATCTAGCTATCTATTGATCTATCTCTCTATCTACACTGATTCTCCACTAAATACACAATCTGCTACAACACTACTAACTCTCAAAGCAACTAACGCAAACAACAGCAACAAACCAACCTGCTCTGCAAAGACAGATTCAAATGAACGCCACTAAACAGGGATATCCTATGTCTGAACACACTCTATCCAAAGTGATTCACATGACAAACCGAACCAATCAGCCAGGGCTTATGTTGAAAAGAAAAAAAGGCATAGCCCCCAAAGCTTATGTTTTATTACGCAAGCACATATTTAGTGTTCATCTGATGCCTTGATGTTTGTAAATGAATCTTTTACAAAAATAAGTTACTAAAAAGGGTTTAACTGGCACTAGGATAGGGGGAAATGAAGGCTAATACTCAAGTCTCTACTGAAACTTAAATCCATCTTAAAATTATATTAGGTCACTTTAAAGGTACTGTAGTGTGGGGATAGAGAAGGTGTCACTTGTCATGGTAAGTAAAACAAACCAAAAAAAAGATTTAGATGACTATATTGATTACATACGGTGTGCGGTGCTTGTTCTCATGGTGTTATGCTGTCTGTTCTCTATTGTTGCTTGAGGTACTGAAATTTGTTTATTAAGATATGTGTGTAGTGTTTGTTTCTCATGGTGTTATGTTGTTTGTTTTCCATTGCTGCTGAAACACTGAAATTTCCCAATTGAGAGATCAATAAAGTACCTACCTACCTACCTACCTACCATATCCTAGGTCAATATTTTTTTTCAGTATTACTGGGGTAAAAACATTTCCAGGTAAATATAAGCTGCGTATTGATAAGCTGCTATGTTGACAGTCCTGAATGTACTCTCAGAAATGTTTTAAATTAAATGCAAAAGAAACCTTAATATAGTTTTTTTCTCAATATTGTAAAATACACAGTTCTAAGGGTCAGTGCTAAATGCTTTTTCAGAAGAAAGTATGTGAATATACATAATTAAAAGTGCATTTACATTCTGTTTCATATGGCCATTTGTTGAGATAATGTGATTAGTCTAACTCCTACCCTCACCCAAGAAAAGTTCTCCATGGCTGCACCATGCTGCTGAAGTTTTTTATTCTGAAAATCCAACCAGAAGTTCTGGTCTTTGTTTTTGTCAGAGGAACGGAACAGGAGGGCGGGACTTATAGCAAGAGCACACGGGAAAGCGGAAGTGTTTGGATACTAGTGTTAGTGTGATATATATGTCAAAACCGTTGTTGTATAACCAATAAATAGCGGATTTACCTGATTATAAATGCGACTCAAAAGCTAAATGTTACCTGTCTTCTTTCATAAGTGGCTAACTTTGAAGTCAAAGTGAGAACAAGGAGATATCAACGTTAACGTGAGAGTAATGTCGGCCAAAATAAACGCAACTAAAAGCAAAGACAGCCATGAAGTTATCAAAAACTACCATAAGGTGGCATTTGAATATATATCGAAGGCATTAAGGATCGATGAAGACGAAACAGGTTGATTTACTGTGTCCACACTGTGTCTATGCGTTATTAGCTGATATGTTGTGGTGTGTTTTGGTGTGGTGTGTCGTGTGTGTGACAGCCTGAAATAAACAGCTCCTCTGTGATGACAGGAGAAAAGGAGGAGGCTGTGCAGTGGTACAAGAGGGGGATTGCTGAACTTGAAAAGGGCATTGCAGTAGAGCTCACCGGAAAAGGTAATATGCACCCAACTGTAACTTAAATTGTGTGTTGTGTTGATATGCTTTAGCCTAATACTCTTGTAACTTGCATTGTGTGCTGTGTTGATATGCTTTAGCCTAATACTCCATGTTTTCTAGCAGAAGATCAATATGACCGAGCAAAGAGACTTAAGGATAAAATGGTCAACAATCTCACCATGGCAAAAGACAGGCTGACCCTTTTAGGTAAGTGACATTTTGGTTGTCTGCCATGGTCAAGTATAGACTGTGTTCACTGGTTTTATCAAAATACTATTAAAGAATGCTGAATGAATGCCCTGTTTTGTTCACAGAGACATCATTGGCATCTAAAAAGAGTAGTGCTCCACCGAAGACCTCAAATCATGCTCTCCCACAGCCAAAGCCTGCTCCTAAAAGCCAGCCCACAGTGCGTGGTTTGTCCACTAACATCAAGCCTGGCAGAGCTGTGCCTAGATCCACAGATCCAAAGGTTGGTTGTTTGGCTATTTATTTATCTGTTTATTTAAATTAAGTTGTCCAGTTGTGTGCTATTTCTGACTGTCTGCTTCTGATGGATTGTGTAATGCTATGTGGATATTTGTATTCCTTCCAAGGTGGCTCCACAGGTGGGAAAAGCTCAAAATGGAAAAATTGCAGCTGCAAAACAGCCACTAAAGAGGGATATGAAAAACTTCAAGAATGTGGACAGCAAACTGGCCAACTTGATTCTGAATGAAATTGTTGACAGGTATGTAGAAGCAATGCTATTACAGTACTTGTAAATTGTGCTACTATTAACAGGCAAATTTTTAAAAGAGCACACGCTGCATTTAAAGTGGCATGCTCTACTCATTGCAGAGGGGCTTCTATATCCTTTGAAGACATCGCAGGGCAGGATCTGGCCAAACAAGCACTCCAAGAGATTGTCATTCTGCCTGCCTTAAGACCAGAGGTGAACAATTATAAATACTTGGTCTCTGCTTGTGGTTTTTCTGATATACACATTCAGTAATGCTTTTTCACATCTTATCCTCTAGCTGTTTACTGGCCTGAGAGCTCCAGCACGTGGTTTGCTTTTATTTGGCCCTCCCGGAAATGGGAAAACTATGCTGGTAAGTTAAGTGTTAATTCCAGCACAACAAACTGATTCATTCAGATCAAACTGAGTGTTATAATTTGTTTACAGTGCCCCAGTATTATCTGAATCACAGCCTTTATGTCTTCTTACAAGGCCAAAGCAGTTGCAGCAGAGTCTGACGCCACATTCTTTAACATTAGCGCTGCCAGTCTGAACTCTAAATATGTAAGAAAAGACTTTTTTTTCTAGAGTATATTGCAATGCTACACTAAATTCAATGTTTTGATTTGCTTCCTAACCTTTTTGGTCAACTCCACCACAGGTGGGTGAAGGCGAGAAGCTTGTACGAGCACTGTTTGCAGTCGCCAGAGAATTACAGCCCTCTGTCATCTTCATTGGTTTGTGTTACTCTATTTATAATGTAGATTTAGCTAAAACACAAATTTTTAGCCCTCAAGCTTCTAAATATAAACCTCATGTTGTCTTTTAATTTCAGATGAAGTGGACAGTTTGCTTTGTGAAAGGAGGGAGGGAGAACACGATGCCGCTCGTCGTTTGAAAACAGAGTTCCTCATTGAGTTTGATGGGGTAAGCAGCACCCTCTGAAATGTGGTGATGCACCGTGTTCAGAACACCTTCAGTCGCTGTTATGCCAGATAGCAGCACTGATGTTATTTCACAGCGATGTTTCTGGGTTTCAGGTGCAGTCAGGAGGGGATGACAGGGTGCTTGTAATGGGAGCAACCAACAGACCTCAGGAACTTGATGAAGCAGCGCTGAGGTCTATTATTCAATTCTACATGCATATTGATATTACTGTTGTTTTTTTCTCGAGATTACCACCATTTTCCTCTTATGTTTACCTTATAGGCGCTTTGCAAAGAGAATATATGTGACATTGCCAGATGTGGAGGTATTTAATGTGCAAAATGTTTCACATTTCATACACTCTTGAATGTCTTTTGTTAGCTTTGAAATTTTACTATGTAACTCTTGTTCTTCCAGACAAGATGCACACTGCTAAAAAATCTTTTGGAAAAGCATGGAAATCCGCTGAGCAAAAATGAGCTGTCCTATCTGGCAAAGTGAGTTTCATATTTGCTTGCTATAAGGCCAGTACAGCAGTGTTTTCATGGTAACTTGTATTAATTTTTGGACATGTAACGTGACAGAGCAACCGAAGGATTTTCAGGAAGTGATCTCACATCATTAGCCAAAGACGCCGCACTCGGGCCAATTAGAGGTAAGCCCCATTTTACACATTACTGGATTGATCTCATATTCTTGCTTCCATGATTTCAATATGAAATCTCCCCTACAGAGTTGGGACCAGACCAAATCCGGAGTATGGCTGTTAATGAGGTGAGATGCTGTTAAAAAGTACCCACAGTACTACAGAAATGTCCTTTATATCAGTTAACCATTACCTAATAGAGTTTATCTGTACTGTTATGCTCGTGTGGACCAACAGATGCGTAACATCAAGATGAAAGACTTCGAAGATTCCCTGAAGCGCATTAAGCCCAGCGTTAACCCAGCCACTCTGAAAATGTATACCAAATGGAACAAAGATTTTGGTGATACAACTGCTTATTGAACTTGAAGATTACAGTAATTTTGTCTGAAACTGAAAATCAAATAACAGGAGAGTCCTCTGTTTTACTCTGCAGGTACAAGATCAATATTAATGAACCTAAAAATCTGGAATAAATCCTTTATAGGTTGGTAAAGCCTTATATGTGTAATGTAAAATGTTATGGCATTTGGAGGGATTATGGGTAAATTTCCTGTTTTTTCAAAAGGCTTTCCTAACAGGCTTACTTACTGTATTATTATACTCCTAAAATACTTAGAGAACAGTGTTGCTACTTGAAGTTGCATTATTTATTCTGAAGAATGTCCTGCAACATGTCAAAGGGTCCTACTCTTGTGAGGGTAGCACATTTTTGTCCTGTACATCCTGGCACACTTAAGACTTTTACACATCCATTAGATACCTGATACATTGATATGTTGGTGGTACTGATCACCAAGTGCTCTGTAAACATGCAAGAGTGAAGATATCTCGGAAAAGGTTTGCAGCATTTGGTGATTCTGTATGTGTAAGAAAGTTTTTCCATTTGCACTTTTGATTTTGGGGGTAGTTATCTTTGAAAGTAGGAATGAATTATTGTGTTGACCAACATTGTTTTTCCTAAAAGAGTTATGACATTTGGTTGAAAAGTATTTTATTGAGCAGAACTGTGATGACTTCCCACTGTCCTCATGTATCAATAAAGTTGTTGAAGTTTCTTTGAACTTTGAAGAACTTTGAGTGTGCTGCAATGCATAGAAAAGGGCTATACAAGTGTAAGACCATTTCAATCGGATACTAAATGCAGATCAATTTACGTGAGTGCTTAAACTGATTTTGTTTTGTGGCACCCAAAACTAAAAATGTCATATCACCTTTTTTATGAAAATTCATATTAAACAAGACACAGAAAGGAAAACATTAAAAAACCAAATAGTTTAATGCTGTTTTTATCCCCTACACGCCCTCTCAGCGAATATATCAGATTGTTTCCATGCAATCCAACAGGGGACCCCAACTCATTAAACCCGTCTGATACAGTAGGGAGATTGACCTTTCGAACATTTTTTCAAGTGTTTTACACTGCATGTGAATATTTGTAAGGGTTATAAATTTTGAGCTATCCTGTAAAATAAACAAGAAAATGCTCTGTGAGTATATTGTAATTAGTTTTTCACAACAAAAATCATCAAACAACTTTTATAAAGAAGAAAATGTTTCAGAACATACATTATGCATATCTGCATCAGACTTAAAAAAAAAATACTCACGATCCATGGGATGCAGTATGCTTCACTCCTATGGGTAGATGGTGCTACAGTTTTGTTTTTGCCCATTCCTTGAGTATTTTCAGTGGTTTTAAGATGCAGTGTTTTTTCCTGCAACCACAACTGTATGTAATGCAGTAAATTGCCATTAAGGAAAATAAAGGCCATGCTATGCAATGTTGATTGTCAGGATGAATTATAGATAGGATTAAGTTGTCAGTTTTGAGCATGAGAGTTACACTTGCAGGAACCTCACTGTGTACAGTGCCTTGCGAAAGTATTCGGCCCCCTTGAACTTTGCGACCTTTTGCCACATTTCAGGCTTCAAACATAAAGATATAAAACTGTAATGTTTTGTGAAGAATCAACAACAAGTGGGACACAATCATGAAGTGGAACGAAATTTATTGGATATTTCAAACTTTTTTAACAAATAAAAAACTGAAAAATTGGGCGTGCAAAATTATTCAGCCCCCTTAAGTTAATACTTTGTAGCGCCACCTTTTGCTGCGATTACAGCTGTAAGTCGCTTGGGGTATGTCTATCAGTTTTGCACATCGAGAGACTGAAATTTTTGCCCATTCCTCCTTGCAAAACAGCTCGAGCTCAGTGAGGTTGGATGGAGAGCGTTTGTGAACAGCAGTTTTCAGTTCTTTCCACAGATTCTCGATTGGATTCAGGTCTGGACTTTGACTTGGCCATTCTAACACCTGGATATGTTTATTTGTGAACCATTCCATTGTAGATTTTGCTTTATGTTTTGGATCATTGTCTTGTTGGAAGACAAATCTCCGTCCCAGTCTCAGGTCTTTTGCAGACTCCATCAGGTTTCCTTCCAGAATGGTCCTGTATTTGGCTCCATCCATCTTCCCATCAATTTTAACCATCTTCCCTGTCCCTGCTGAAGAAAAGCAGGCCCAAACCATGATGCTGCCACCACCATGTTTGACAGTGGGGATGGTGTGTTCAGGGTGATGAGCTGTGTTGCTTTTACGCCAAACATAACGTTTTGCATTGTTGCCAAAAAGTTCGATTTTGGTTTCATCTGACCAGAGCACCTTCTTCCACATGTTTGGTGTGTCTCCCAGGTGGCTTGTGGCAAACTTTAAACGACACTTTTTATGGCTATCTTTAAGAAATGGCTTTCTTCTTGCCACTCTTCCATAAAGGCCAGATTTGTGCAGTATACGACTGATTGTTGTCCTATGGACAGAGTCTCCCACCTCAGCTGTAGATCTCTGCAGTTCATTCAGAGTGATCATGGGCCTCTTGGCTGCATCTCTGATCAGTCTTCTCCTTGTATGAGCTGAAAGTTTAGAGGGACGGTCAGGTCTTGGTAGATTTGCAGTGGTCTGATACTCCTTTCATTTCAATATTATCGCTTGCACAGTGCTCCTTGGGATGTTTAGCTTGGGAAATCTTTTTGTATCCAAATCCGGCTTTAAACTTCTCCACAACAGTATCTTGGACCTGCCTGGTGTGTTCCTTGTTCTTCATGATGCTCTCTGCGCTTTAAACGGAGCTCTGAGACTATCACAGTGCAGGTGCATTTATATGGAGACTTGATTCCACACAGGTGGATTCTATTTATCATCATTAGTCATTTAGGTCAACATTGGATCATTCAGAGATCCTCACTGAACTTCTGGAGAGAGTTTGCTGCACTAAAAGTAAAGGGGCTGAATAATTTTGCACGCCCAATTTTTCAGTTTTTTATTTGTTAAAAAAGTTTGAAATATCCAATAAATTTCGTTCCACTTCATGATTGTGTCCCACTTGTTGTTGATTCTTCACAAAATTTACAGTTTTATATCTTTATGTTTGAAGCCTGAAATGTGGCAAAAGGTCGCAAAGTTCAAGGGGGCCGAATACTTTCGCAAGGCACTGTACATGTATATACAAGTAGAAGCTTTGGAGAGGCCATATTATTGATATGTGATGTTACATTATGCAGCTCTGTGATCCAGATCCCATAAACAGCCACCATCTAATAACAGGTCCATTCACACAGGAGTCACCAGTTGTTGTGGCAGGGCTGATTCAAATTTAATAAATGCTTGTGGTCATTCACAGATCTTTAATTCAGTGCACTAAAAATTCTACTTAAACCCTTAGCTCTTCCTCTGCTTAGCCTGTGGTTTGTGGCCCAGCAGCTGCATAATCTGTTCCTGCAGATGTTTACAGACTGTACAAAAGCAAACATTTTTTACAATTTAATCAGTTTTTGAATCATAACCTCAGAATTTTATTTCCATATTGCTTATAATGAGAGAAACAGCTCCACATGCAACAGTCATCCCCAGAACTGCAACCACACCTTGGACTATTCTTTTTCCCTGAGGGGAGAGATGTTGGATGGTGTGTTTTTTTTTTTACCTTTTCATGACTGAAGAGCATCTTTCTTTAGGATTTTCAACAGGAATGGAGAGTTAGTTGTTGGAAGTTGCTGACATCACCATTTTTCTTGTTACTCTTTCCATTCCACACAGAAAACAAGTGGTTTTTATGAGAGACCATTTAATCATATTATTTTCCCACTTTTCAACTTATTTATCAGAGTATAGAAATGCATGCCTATAGGTGATAAAATCCGCTAATCGCCTGAAATCAACATTCTTCCAAATAATCAATTTTAAAATATCCAGTAATTACAGTGGGGAAAAAAAATGATATGTGCACAATGTGCTTGAAATTTTCTAACTGAAAAGACAGATTTATTGAGGTAGTTTAACCCTTGCAGATGATTGACAGATTACTTTTTAGGTTGCGTGTCAGAGGCCTGCACCACCACAGTGGCTCATTGATGCTTTCCACTCAAGGGAAAACAGATTAGGTGATCATTTGATACCTCCCATAAAACAGCCCACCATGTAGAGAATAGAATAATAGTCAGCACAGTTAAGACCTCTCACTGACTGAGCAAACAGTCTGAGTGTTTCTTCAAGTGGCCCATTATGAAAACAATATGTGAATGGGAGGGTGTTTTTTATGGTGTGTACACGTCTCACTTTAAGCAGAAATTGTTCTTTGAATGTGTGTGGAGATATTAATTATAAACTGAATATTAGTTGCTGAAGGATTAAATGTTAGCGCACTGAGCATGTGCAGCACCATGCTGGGGAGTGTGAGCTGAAGTATTTTTAAGAAAGGCCTGATTGTAAATTGTTCAGCTGTCGGGAGGGGATTTCCTTCAAATTTGAGGATTTGGCCCCTTTATCAGCCTTGGTTTAAAGACGTGGTCCAGGGCTTACACAGTGAAAAGCCTTCAGGGCTGAGCTGGGTCCAATTTCTAGCACTGGCTACTACTGTTCCTCTGGCCTGCATACCCAAAACAACTTTGTTTACTATGAGAGAGTTCTATTTCTCTCTCATGGGAGACTGGAAGCCAGGTCTAATCTCATTTCCAATGGCAAGATTAGTCTTTTATGAGCGAAATCATTTTTCTTGTTCACTGTTGATTTTTAGCACATGTATTGGAGTGTGGGAGTGTGGAAGAAATACAGTGTTCCTATATACCTGCATCAATGTGAACATGGGTTTATTTATGTCAGGTCAGCTTGAGCTTTGAGCAGTAAGCAAAACTATTGAACTTACAAAATATCTAACAATTCCTTTAACCATTGTCTTAATTTAAAATCACAAACATCATGTTTCATTACTTTTTAAGATTGTAGTCCTACAAATACTGATCATTTATCACTAAATTTGTGTTTTTTTTCCTAGGTAATTTTAAATGTAATAGATGTAAGCATTGGAAAATGTTTCAAATAAGGTATGGAGTATGGAGGGGCCCTGGGAATGTTTGTTTTTGCTGACCATATTTATTTGTGGAAAAAGTTTACAGTAACCATCTGAATGTTTGTATGTTAACATTTCATTGTAGCAGAAAGATAGGTCTGTGGTAAGGTCAGTAATAGCTGGTCTTACAACCTCACTATCTAATTTGGGAGGCCTGCATCTTTTTTTACAAAGCATAGAATAGAAACTGCTTGAGTAAAGACAGCATTTTAAACAAAAGGTTTTAGCAAAGTGTGTAGATACTAATCAACAAAAGCAGAGGACAATTTGAACCCACAGTTCTAGAGTAGACTTATCTTAAATCTGCATGCACTGAAGTGAACCAAGTTAAGTTCATGAATATCTTTCCCACAACAGCCTGTAGCCACAAAGCTGTATTAAAACAGAAGTGGACAGAGGAGAGTGGTGAACTCTGTCATGTCTGCACATGACCCGCAAAGCCATTCATCTCAGCAAACCTTTGCAAGGTCATCAGGAGCCAATCCCTGCCTATGACTTCATGGAAACTGTGCAGATGTATTAGACTTGACGTCAGTCCATGCAGTTTGTCAACACCTCTCTAAAAAAGGTGTTTTCAGTTTCACATCTGGTTGGTTCTCTAAACAAAAAGCTAAATAAGGCTACATGCAACTGATTAATGGAAGAGAATAGTAATGTCCTTCCTTTGGCTAGGCAAGTACAGTATCATCCCCAGATAATGCTCAAGATAAATACTGAATTTGAACTAGGGTGAACGTGTTGAGACGTGGATTTGATGCAAGCAGGGGTGGAGAGATGATGCTGAGGGGAATGGTGAACTGTCATCCTGAGTTGCAAGCTGCCCTGCAGTGCATTCCTTCAGCTTATGTGCAGCCAAAACACTTTGATGAAAAGTGAAAGTGTAGATAGGGCCGAGCATTCTTGCAATAATAATGCTCTCTCTGTCTGTCATCATACTGCTTTTTCTGCTCCCTTTGTTGTTATCTTTTAATCTCTT